AGGATGGTTTTAAGATGTATATGATAAGTCTATGAGAGGCTACTTACATGCCCATTAAACTGTTTACCCCATCTCTTTGGAAAAATCACATTGACCAGTTACCAATTTCATACACGAGAGATGTTTAAATATCTGCAAAACCCTGTCTTATATGTGAAAACAGGGGAGTTGCTGCAACTTCTCCCTCAAACTTTATTATTAGAGTGAGTATGAAGATGGTAATTTCATAGGAAACTTTTCAACTTTTGTTACTATCATATATTAGTGTAGACCCTCGTCATAGATGAAGTTATAAAGAGGCTTATAAAGTTACGCCGTTGTGGTAAGAGAGGTTGAGTCACTAGTGTCCGTAAAGTAAACTTTGTTATGGAATTTGATTCTTAGAAATGCTTTCTAGACAAATTGTCTATGTAGATTGGATTATGTAGTTTTATTACTTTATTACCTACTAAGTCCCAAACACAATACTTTGTCTCACTATGCCCTACTAGTCAACCTTATGAACCTTATCCACACAGTTGCCTTGTATCATTAACAGTCATGTCATTTCTGACTGCCGTATACAGCTGGCAAGTCCACATTAACTGAGGGCTATCAGCATCATATGTTGACTATGCTACATCGGCATACAGCCAACCCACTTATGTGATTGCCATGTCACTTGGCCTCCTCACTTATTTCCGTGTCATCTGTTGACCCGTCACATTTCCATTTTTTGTAGATTATTGGCTTTGACAAAGTTGACTATAACCTTGGTCCTTCATAACAAGAGTTGCTTGGCTTCCGATCACCTTTTGGTTTCAATTCCCTTCAAAATGCATTTTTTCAAACTTCAAAACTTGCCTGAGATTTTTATTAATTGTGGTTTTTGTGTTAGGGCTTTTGTTAAGAAATTCTAGTATCCACCTAAGAAGTTCGAACGATTACACCAAATCTTGATTCCATGATACATGCGCATGTTATTAAATGAAAAGACTACTGTTACTGTAGTTGTGTTATCAGATGTAATATGATCTGTATATATAATACTCTCCTATAGGGAGATGTTTCAATATGCATTCTACGCTGAAAAATGTAAATTTCTTGTTACAATTTTTTGCCTCAAAAACGTGTTTAAGAGAGGCAAACAAATTCTTTAGCATATTTATCATGAATTTAATTTTTTTAAGAAATCGTATATCATGTGCTGATGTTGAATATCTAAACGAATGTGTAGATAACTGCTGCTGTGTCACAGTTCTACAAACCCATTATTTCAAAAGGAAACCAGTGTTATCTGGTATCAAACAGGTTACTTCAATTTAAAGTCAACTTTTTAACAAAGATCTTTCAATTCTTTCGTCGTAATATCTTTTGTCTTATTATAGTTTGAGGATCTGATTTGAATTTATGCTTATTCAGCGTAGGTGATATATTTCCTCAAGTCAGTTTAAACTTCATGGGTGGGGCATCTATGATTTTAGATCCAGAACATTACCTTATGCATTATGGTTTCCTTGTAAGTATGTCTATTTTTAGTTTGGTCACGTTATTGCCTCTTCTATCTTGCCGAAGTAGGAGTAATTCTATTGAAATGCGTGTCACTAATAACAGTCTGATGTACGCTACCTTGATTTCACAGGATGGTGCTGCAATGTGGTGCATTGGCTTCCAAAGAGGGGAGCAGGGATTCACCATTTTAGGAGGTTAGAAGCTAGAAAAGTTATCTAAACAGAATCAAATCTGCATGGAGTTTGAAGAAAAACTCACTTTTCAAAATTGATTATGAAATGGGCTCTTTAGTTAGCAGCATAGAAAATCTTCATTGATAAATGTCATGTATTCGATGGTAGTAAACTCCATTACGTAGTTATATCTTTGAGAATTCGTTTTGGTAGGCTGAATATGAGATTAGAAAAACTGAAAACACATGGTAAGTTGTTTCACAAAGAACCTTAATCGGTTATTTTCGGTAAACATTCAAATGGAATTTCAAAATACGATAAAAATGGGTAGATTCTGTCTTGTCATTAAAAGTTTTATCGTACTTATTGTGTCAATTATGCATGAAATTATTTGGTCAGCAAGTGGATCAACCAAGTCTTTTGGGTTCTTTTGCAGATCTTGTCCTAAAAGATAAGATATTTGTATACGATTTAGCTAATCAACGAATTGGGTGGGCCAACTATGACTGTAAGCTCGCTAAAGTAACTGAATCTTTCTGCATGTATGGTATTTTTACTTTATCATAATCTTGAGTTGGTGGTCAGGTTCCTTGGCTGTAAACGTCTCTATGGCTACGAGCAAGAGCAAAGATGCATACATCAACAATTCAGGACCCATGAGTGTGGGCTGCCCCCACATAGGCACTTTCTCCAAGTTGCTAGCATCAGGCATTGCTGCTTTCCTTGTGCACATAGTTTTCATGGAGTTCCCATTTTTGTAAAGCGCTACCACGAGTCAAAGATAAATTTTTGAAGCTTACATGGGTTGGCTGATGTTTTATTTATTGTCAGCATGCCCTTGCGTTGAAACGGGAGGTGGTTGCTGTTTTCTGCGCGGTATTTAATTTCGTTGGCATCTTTGTAAATTGGTTTACCACTGGAGTAGATGGGAATTGTACTATTTATAAACTACTCTGACTGCATAAAACAGTTTACTTGTGAGATTTTCAACAAAGGATATGGGAATATCATATTCTTGGAATTCTGTTCTTATTGTCACCAATGGATTGATCCGTGCACCGTGCAGCTACAAGTTGTCAAACCAATGTAAAGAAAGACGAACAATATTTCTTCAAATAGGTAATTGGTTATCTCTGTTATTATATTCCTAAACGAGTTGATTATAGATATTTCTTAATTATATCTTTGCTGTTCATTAATGCAATATATATATATATATATGTATATAATGCATAATTAAACTACTAAAGTGTGTAATTAAGTATGTAGAGAAAAATAGATATATAATGTGCCTATAATAATTTATTTATCGTTAATGTCAGAGAGAGATTGAGAGAAAATGACGGAAAACTAAAACTTTATACGTGTTATGTATCCTCTAAATATGTTTATTATTTGACATGCATATTATATTGAATTAGGTTATTCTTTCGAGCAACTACAAACATTCGATTTGAGTAACTTTTTCTTACATTAATGGATAATGAAAAGAGACTACAAAACGACTAAAACAGAAGGTATTGGTACACGCGTAACTGTGTAATTTAATACAGGAGAGGGAAATAAAATGAATCGTTTGGCACGAAGGTGTTTTCTGTTTTCTTTGTTGCGTTCCGTGCATATTTGAAACAATCTCCTCATTTTCCTCATTCCTCAACGCTCGTACGTCCGTCTCTTTCTCTCCCAATTTCTTTACTTTTTCTTCTACCACGCGCCCATCGCCTCTCTTCCAACACAATTCCACCAATTTTCTTTCATATCACATTCTAACATCCCCAACTCTTTCCTCCTTAACCTAAAAATATACCATATTTCTAAACTACACACATAACTATATATCCACTATTACCATTATTAATAACCACACTTTCCTAAATGCACGCCATTGTGTTCTTTTCTTTTTCCACTAAATGTACAACGAAACACACTGATTAAATATGTTTTGTAAAATAATATAACAGGAAAACCATAGCTATCTATTATACACACAGAATAATGGCATCAGTTAAATACAACCAGAGGTAATAATTTCAACCATATCACCCAACAGACACATTTTCTACGAACAATAAAATAGTATAGCAGTAAATAGATTTATGTATAGTTTGAATACTTTATTTAAAACAGATAATAAAGCAAACTTATCCAAAGACATTGACTATTTGTTGATGAGGCGCGAATTTCCTTAAATAATAAATATGAAAAATTGGAAAGTGAAGAGGAGTGTGAGCGACACTCGAGCAAGGCGCGTGAAGGTGGAGAGGATGGTTTATAGCACCCAACGGCCATGCATGCGGAATCTTCCTACACTCACTCACTCTCACACGAACAAACAAGCCAACCTCTCTCTCTCTCTCTCTCTCTCTCTCTCTCTTCCTCTGTCCTTCGCCAATATCATCATCAAATCGTATCATACTCTTTCCCTCTCCTTTCTTCTTTCACTCACCTCACAACCAACGTTTTTTTGTTCAGTANCGCGTAACTGTGTAATTTAATACAGGAGAGGGAAATAAAATGAATCGTTTGGCACGAAGGTGTTTTCTGTTTTCTTTGTTGCGTTCCGTGCATATTTGAAACAATCTCCTCATTTTCCTCATTCCTCAACGCTCGTACGTCCGTCTCTTTCTCTCCCACTTTCTTTTCTTTTTCTTCTACCACGCGCCCATCGCCTCTCTTCCAACACAATTCCACCAATTTTCTTTCATATCACATTCTAACATCCCCAACTCTTTCCTCCTTAACCTAAAAATATACCATATTTCTAAACTACACACATAACTATATATCCACTATTACCATTATTAATAACCACACTTTCCTAAATGCACGCCATTGTGTTCTTTTCTTTTTCCACTAAATGTACAACGAAACACACTGATTAAATATGTTTTGTAAAATAATATAACAGGAAAACCATAGCTATCTATTATACACACAGAATAATGGCATCAGTTAAATACAACCAGAGGTAATAATTTCAACCATATCACCCAACAGACACATTTTCTACGAACAATAAAATAGTATAGCAGTAAATAGATTTATGTATAGTTTGAATACTTTATTTAAAACAGATAATAAAGCAAACTTATCCAAAGACATTGACTATTTGTTGATGAGGCGCGAATTTCCTTAAATAATAAATATGAAAAATTGGAAAGTGAAGAGGAGTGTGAGCGACACTCGAGCAAGGCGCGTGAAGGTGGAGAGGATGGTTTATAGCACCCAACGGCCATGCATGCGGAATCTTCCTACACTCACTCACTCTCACACGAACAAACAAGCCAACCTCTCTCTCTCTCTCTCTCTCTCTCTCTCTCTTCCTCTGTCCTTCGCCAATATCATCATCAAATCGTATCATACTCTTTCCCTCTCCTTTCTTCTTTCACTCACCTCACAACCAACGTTTTTTTGTTCAGTAAAACACGAGAACAATCCCCTGCGGTCGCGCCTTCTCTTCCCTTTCCTACTACTTCGCTCGGCAGATTTATCCATGGCGGTTCCTCCGTCGGTCGCTGGCTCTCCGGCGTCACTCTACGTCGGCGACCTCCATTCTGACGTCTCCGACAGCCACCTCATCGACGCATTCTCCGAGTTCAAGAGCCTTAACTCCGTTCGCGTCTGCAAAGACTCCTCCACCGGCAAATCCCTCTGTTAAGGCTACGTCAACTTTGTTTCTCCTCAGGACGGTGTGTTTCGCCTCCATTCACTTTTTCTTCGTTTAGGTTTGACGCAAGTGTGCTCCGTTTTCTTTTCATGAAACCTTGATTTTTGTTTGTTTTTAGATTAAATAATTTCTCGTTATGATATTATATATAAACACGTTGCTTGAATGAAAGAGAGCGACGGGGGTGTGTTGATCGACATCTTTGAGTTTGTTTATCGTGTTACTGAAATGGTGTTTGCTATAGCAATTCGTGCAATCGAGATTAAGAATCATACGTTGCTGAATGGAAAAATGATGAGAGTGATGTGGTCGCGTCGCGATCCTGATGCGAGGAAGAGCACTATTGGGAACTTGTTTATTAAGGTATCTGTTAGACAAAACTTTCTTTTAAAAATTGAAATGGTTAAGGCATTGTTTGGTTCTTGGTTGTTTCTAAAGGGATTCTTGCTGAGAGTTTCTTGTGTGTTGGCAGAACATACCGGAATCGATAGATAATTCTGGACTGCAAGATATATTCAAGAAATATGGAAATATTTTGTCCAGCAAAGTTGTCACGTCTGACGATGGGAAGAGTAAAGGATACGGTTTTGTTCAATTTGAATCGGAGGAATCCTCTCATGTTGCTATAGAGAAGCTGAATGGCTCTACTGTTGGTGATAAACAGTTGTATGTGAAATTCTGCATTGTACCATCAGTTAATGTCTGTAATTTACATTCAATTTATGTACGCATATATTTTGTTATGTTAATTATAACCTGGTTATGACGCTTGGTCAGATATGTCGGGAAGTTTGTAAAAAAAAGTGATCGCATTTTTTCTGGCGCGGATGGATATACAAACTTGTACATGAAGAATTTAGACTTGGATATTACAGAAGCAAAATTGAAGGAGAAGTTTTCCTCTTTCGGGAAAATTGTTAGCTTGGCTATTGCAAAGGACCACAATGGGATGCCCAAGGGTTTTGGCTTTGTGAACTATGATAACCCCGATGATGCTAAAAAGGCAATGGAAGGAATGAATGGATCACAATTAGGTAGTTCATGCACTCTTTTAGGCTTTCTGCAGGGTAATGTTGAAATTTCTTGATGTATAAGTGGTTTTGATTTTTCATAAACAGGTTCTAAGATTCTGTACGTAGCCAGAGCGCAAAAGAAAGCTGAGCGCGAGCAGATCTTGCAGCACCAATTTGAGGAGAAACGGAAGGAACAAATATTGAAATACAAGGTGATTTTCTATGCCATTCTCACATATTTAACATGTCACTTATGTTTTAGTTGTCTTAGAGTGTCAACATTTAACTCCAGGGGTCGAACGTTTATGTGAAAAACATTCATGACAATGTAAATGACGAAGAACTGAGGGATCTTTTCAGTGCATGTGGCACTATAACTTCATCAAAAGTTATGCAAGATGACAAAGGCATATGTAAAGGGTTTGGCTTTGTCAACTTCTCCACTCCAGAGGAGGCTAATAAAGCCGTGAACACTTTTCATGGTAAGCAAGTTAAGTAGATTATGAGATTGGGTCTGCTCCAGTGTTTAGATAAATATTCCAGCCCGTCTTATGGAATAAGAATGCTAGTGCTTGCTTATATTTATTGGAGTTAGTTTAAAATATACAGTGATCTTAACCTACAAAAATTTAAGGGATGAGAATACCCCATTACTTGTGCATTTTGTTATACAAGCTCGTTTTATAGAAGCCCATTTCTTATACAACCAATCCTTCTTGTTAACACAAAGGATATCCATTAATCTGAAAATATATTTTTTCATCAATCGCTAATTGTATATTGGTTTGGAACAGAAGTTCTGAAATATAAGTTTGCATTTCTCCCTTTTTACACGTAATTTTGGTGAAAACTCTATCTAAATGCATTTCATATGTATGATTTCCTTTCTTTGAAAAAAAATTCAATTACTATTTAAATCAATTTATCGTTGTTATATTTTTGTGACTTTTTTTATTTCTTAGAAAAAAATTATTATTTGAACTGGAATGTAACTGTTATTTTATTTTTTATTTTCATTTACCTGTACGAAATTTTTCGTAGTTTAAATTTATTTTATTTTATTCGTTTAGAAAATATTCAATTGTTGTTTGAACTATTATATAATTATTATATTTTTTCTTTTTATTTTTCTATAAATATTAATTTTTTGTTTAACGATTCTGATTGTTTTTCTATATAAGGTTGATACAAAAATCTGTCACATCTGTAGTGGGTTGAGAACTATTGAAGAAATGTTTGAAGAAAAAGAGGAGGATGAACTATAAGATGATATCATATTAAAATAAAAAGATGAATGAAATGAGATTGATCTCGAAAATGATTAATGAACATATAACACTAAAATGTAAATTTAAAAGTTGAAAATAGTAATTACATTTTATCATCTGGTTTTCATGAGTTCAATACTTCATTTTTGCGTAGAATATTTTTAATACTTTTCCCCATGTCTCTTAGTGTTCATGTATATTTACTATTTATAATATACTGTTCTAATAAATGTAAAAGGATTTACTATTCCAATCGAGATTCCACACCCAAGACTATTTGTCTGCAATGCCTTAATTATGTTTAAGTTGATCTTATGTGACACAGGATTCATGTTTCATGGTAAACCACTGTATGTTGCCCTTGCTCAGAGGAAAGAGGATAGGAAAACACAATTGAAGCTTCAATACACACAGCAAATAGCAGGACTAGCTGGACCTTCGACTACTATTATCCCTGGTGGATACACTGCTTATTATTATGCAGCTACTGGTGCTATTTCACATGTGCCTCCTCGAGCTGGACTGATGTATCATCCTCTTGCATTGAGGCCTGGATGGGGAGCTAATGCCTTTGCACCCCCTGCTATATCATTTCAACAGTCATCTGTTCCCGCAGTGAGTAAAAACTTTGTTTTGGAACCCAAGAAATGCTTGTATTTATTCAATTCTTCATGATTTTTTAGAATGGATCATGATCTTTTAGCATGAAGGAACTAAATTGCCACATTTGTTTTACTTGGAAAACTAGTCTTGTCTCAGTGAAAGCTGCAATAAGTCGAATATATATGTCTTTCTTTCACAGGTTTCTAACAATAATAGGCAGCATAGGCAAAACAGGGGAAGGTTGAATGGGCATTCAGCATCACAGGGAAATACTCAGTCTGGTACTTATTTGCAACAAGGCCAGCAGACTTCTCAGTCAATGATCTCTTCAAGAGACTCAAGTACTCAGCAGGTTTGCCCTTTCTTTTTGTTTTTTTTTTGAGCTCCCTTTTCTGTTTACTTTGCTGTAATAAATGTCATTTCAGGGAACATACTCAAAGCAAATACAGTGGTGCTAGTCCCACTTGTTTTTAGAAACTGAACTTGAAACCAGGACTAGCAAAACAATTGTTGTCTGTTTAGTTTTCAATATAGAACAATTGAAAATAGTTGGATTTTATTTCAATACAAGCCAATCCCTTTCATGTGTTGAAAGTTCTTATTTCTGAAGTTTCTATCTTTTGAAGAGAACCGGACACCTTAAGTATATACCCAATGGACGCCAGCGTGAAATGGAAAAAGGATCTGGTTCCTCATCCGCTACTTGTAGGGATCCCAGGGTCCAGAAATGCTGCATAGCTTTCTTGCTGGGGCTGCTCCCGAGCAGCAGAAGCAGATACTCGGAGAGCATCTTTACATGCTTGTTCAGAAACTAAAGGCATAACAATCTTCTATTCTGTTTTGCTTTTTGTTGTTGAAGGTTAAGTTTTTAAATTCTTACAGTGTGTTTACTGTGATATCTTGAGCAGCCTAGCCTAGCAGCAAAAGTAACAGGTATGCTTTTGGAGATGGACAATGGAGAATTGTTGGTTCTCCTGGAATCGCCGGAGGCTCTTTCCGTGAAGGTGGAAGAAGTTGTGCAAGTGCTTAAGAACACTAAGACCAAAGTTTCTGGCCAGGACGTACTTCGTTCAAATTACCTTTCAGCTGAAGTTGCAGTAAACTAAACACTTTAACCTGATATTTTAGTTTTAGCATAAATCAGGGAAGGCCTCCAAAGAACTCAGAAATTTGAGGACAGTGAATTTTGACATCAATGATTACCTTAGGTTTCTTCTACAGTATATTTCCTAACGAAAACACTTTACGTCTTTCTGCTGGCCTTTAGGTTTGACAAAATTTGGTAGTGACGATAAGAATCATGGATTAAGTTTGTTTTTGGTTTTGATTTGCATGGATTAACTTCGATGAATCTTAGTTTTTTCGTTTCCTTTTCATATGCTATGTAGAATATATTCTACACATATAACCAATTTTTCAATCAACTGTGATACGCTAAACCATCAATTTACCTTTGTAGTTTGGATTTATCCTTCAGATATTGGAATCCTATTGGAACCCTGCACTCTACCACCTACCTCAAGTTGTATTGGGCTTTCGACATTTCTTTTGGGATCTCTCTTGTAACAAGAATGTTCGTCCTCGACCATCATCACAGCACCACCTCGTACCTATTGTATCTGTTATAAATCGATGTCACCGTTGGATAGATTTTAGAAAGTATTGAAAAAAAAAATCGCAACGGATGGGGACACACCAGGAAAAAGGAAAAGAGGGAAGGAGGAGGAAAAAAAACAGAAACTAAATTAAGAGAGAGAAAAAAAGAAAAGAAAAAGAAAAAAAAAAAAAAAGTAAAAAAGAAAAGATAGAAGAAAGAAAAAACAAAAAAAGAAAAAAAAAACGGTCACCACAGCCACAGCCGGAAGATAATAAGAAAATGAGGAAGAGGAGGAAAAAAATAACATAAATTTAAATTAATAATTATTATTTTATTAAATAAAATAAAATAAATTTATAAATAATTAAGTAATAATTTTAAAAAAATTAAATGATATTTATATATTAATTTAAAATACAATAAATTAAAAACCTAAAAACTAAAAAAAAAAATCTCAACGGATGTGACACATTCGTTGAAGAATTTTTTCTTCAACGGATGTTGACATTCGTTAAAGAAAAAAGGTGGGAGTGTAGGATATTTTAAAATATAAAGGATAGTTTTGGAATTTAAGAAAAATGTGGGGTAGTGTAGGGAGTAATGTGGGGTGGTGTAGGGAGTAACCCTCTTGTAATAATTAGATATAGACCATGATCAACTTAATTCCTCAAGTTAGAATAGTTACATCTAAACCTACCCCTGACCATACCACCCCATCCATGCCCTAACTTTAAACCTAATTCATAGCCATAAACCCTACCATTAAAACCCTAAACCTCCTAATCCCAAACTTAAGTCTAACTCTAACCTCAAATCATATTGCTTAAACTTAAACCATAAACATTAACCCTGACATAAACTTAAATCCTATTTATTAAACAAGGCAAATTTTCAAAATTAAGGTAGTTTGAGCCTTAATTTACAAGAAAATAAAAATAAAAATGATAGTTTGATTTTATTTTTATAGATTTAGATAAATAGTCATGAACCTAAAACATAACCATAAATCTAGTGCTGTTAATACAGGTCATTTGGTCCAACCCGACCTAGTCCACCATAGGTTAGTCACTTAGTGAGCCAATCAAACCCAACTCATTTAGGGTGTTGCTCCCTCCACCACCACACCTTTCTCCCTCCACCTCCCCTTTACTATTTTTGCCCTAAGTAAAATTTTAGTTTAGGGATTATTATTTTTAATTTTCCCATTCAACAACCTATTCCACTAATAACCTATTATAGTCCCTTACATGAGTAAAATACTTTTCTTTCATTTTAACATTATAGTTCTTCCTCTTTTTCTTTCGTTGCTGTGAGATACAAGTTGCAAAGGTTGGTGGTGGTGGAAAGAATTATGAAGCAGTCTTCCTCTAGTGGTGCAGTGTGGCTCTCATGGTGCAGTGTGTGTGGTGCTTCCTCCAAGTGCGTATTCGAATAGATCTTCAAATAAAACCCTAAAATAAAAAATGTAACCTTTAAACGGTGACATCCTTCAACCGATGTCAACATCCGTTTAAGGTTAAAACGAATGTCAACATCCGTTTAAGGTAAATGGATGTCGACATCCGTTTTTCCTTAAACAGATGTTGACATCCGTTGAAGGATGTTACCTCCGTTTAAAGGTTACGTTTTTTATTTTAGGATTTGTTTTATTAGTTTATTCTTTATTTTGGAGATATTTTAATAATTTAATTTAAATGTTTTGATTTATTATTTTTGAATATATTTTTAATGTATTTTAATAATGTAAGGAAAATGAAGAAGAAAGAAATGGAGAGGAGAAGTGAAACGAAGAAGACAAATGGAGTTGCAGAGTAAAACAGAAGACAAATTGTTAAATGGAAATGGGAGATGGAAAGATTGGGTGCAGGGAGTAAAATAGGAGAACTAGGTTTGAAATAAATTAAAATAGTAAAATAGTAAAAGTAAAAAATTTTAATATGAGGATATAATTGGAATTAAAGAAAATTGGGAAGGTGGAGGGAGAAAAGTGTGGTGGTGGAGGGAGCGACACCCACTCATTTATTAGTGAGCTGAAAAGATTTGAACTGGGTCTGACCCACCACGGGTTGGTTCACTAACTCACTTAATTACAAGTTTTTTTCTAAATCGAGAAAAATTACAATTTTCTTGTAATTTAAATTTAAATAATTTTACTCTAAAATGATGTTAAACTCAAAAGACAATTTTAAAAAAATTAACATACAACTCAAATGTAATCCAAAAGCAAACCCAAAAAAGGAATAAATAAGTTTATATATAATATTGATAATTTTTGTGACACATATCCATTTATAATATTAGAGCCTTGAATGGATAAATTTATAATATTTTGCAAACATCTTTTTCTTTATTCTCATTTACAATACAATAAAAAAAGTTAACTATTAATATTAAAATACAAAATAATAAATAATTAAATTAAATTAGGTGAACCCAACTCGGCTCACCACAGGTTCAACCCAGGTGACCTGGGTTCTAAGTGAGCCGGGTTGAAAATTGACCCGCATAAAAAAATTTCATTTTTTTCAAATCCAACTCAGTCTGAACCCGTGGTGAGCCGAATTGATCCAAAAATTCTAACTCATTTTGAAATTACTACATAAATCATAACTGAAACCATAACTCTAATCTCAACTCTAGCCATAAATAATAAATCATGAATCTTTAACCCAAACAATAAATCCTAATCCTAATTCCTAACATAAACTCTAATATTAACCCTAACACTAACCATACCTTAATTCTAACTTTAAATCATAAACTCTACCCTTATGTCTACACATTCCCCTAACCATAATCATAAACGATAATCCTAACCCTAAACACCACCATAACCCTGTACTCACTCATTTTTTTTTCTAGGAAAATAATTTTTGGTGGTCTTATTTTAGTATTTCTTTTTTAAATGAAGTGATAAAAATAAGGCTACTAGTAAGAAAAAGAATAATTATTAAAAAATTATTTAAAATTTAAATTCATATATTTATATTTTTTATTTAGGTCTATAAAATTGAAGTTATTTTTAAAACAATACATTTTATTTTATGATTTATATTTTGTTATAACTCATTCTAATTTACATGCATTAACATTTTAGAAAGTACCTTGATTTGAATTATACTTTAAAAATGATATTTTGTTTGATTTTATATTTTAAAGATTTCGTTTTAAGCAATTTTATTTAAACCTAAGTCTAATCCTAAACATAACTTTATCCATGACCCTAAACATACACCT